GTTATTTTGGAGACATGATTTCTTATTCTTTATTGAATAAGTGACTCCCCTTTGCAATCATTATTTAAGAGATGTTTACCAGAGATATCTGACTTTATCTCAGTTCTGATAATGAATTTCAATTTTTTATAGTATTCTTTTGAAGAACTCTTTTGGTATGTTTGACTATATTTCTTTAATAATGGCACTTCTGATAGTTTAAGAACTATTTCTATCTTTACCAGCGTTGAATGTGGTACCACAAATGACAGGGTGTTTATTTTATTATACTTTGATTCTCTCAATGCTGAGATTTGGAAGGTCAATTTATGTCCCAAGCTTACTCCATTATTTGTTCCAGAGGCATTATAAATGGATATCGCAATTGGATTTTGAACCAATAACTTCAGACACCAAACCATATGTTTTAATGAGAAGCTGAAATTTCCTTACAATGGTCACATAATGCTATTAGTTTCTTGATGATATATTAGAGTTAGAAAAGATAAATATAAATACACAAAGTACTGTGAGGTCTTCAAATGCCATTATAGTTCATTCTTTTGAAAGGCTTACCAAGGTCAACTACAATTCTTTTTGCTATGTTTTGTTACTCTAGGCCATTCTACAATAATTTTGAAATCGTATATGATATTTGCTCTGAATTCATTACTTATTTGAATACTTTCTTTTGCTTTTAAGAGAAAGTTGTATTGATGTATCTGTGATGTATCTAACCCCTTAGTTGGTATTGATTATATGACTCACTTCAAAGATAAGCTAAGAGCCGTCTGATGTATATGTAAAGTAAACTAGAAGAGGTAAATTGAAATCTCTGTGGGCTTGTCTATTTTTAGTAAGAATAAAAAGGAACTGTGTTCTATTTTATCTGATATCTTATCACATGAGAATACTAAATGCTTGCTAGTCAATTCAAGGGCACCTTTGTTATATCATTAATGAAATGTTTAGGCAAGATTTTTGAAATAGTCTGTATTCTACTAGAATATTCTTTAAAATTCCTTTTTAAATAATTTTTCTTAGGATTGGATATATGGACCCAAACTATTAGAACTAACTCTGATTTTGTCGTTTTATTCCTGTGTACAAATAGTGTTTTTACTTTTCCTTTGCTTGAGAGGGATAAGATAAATCAAGGTGGTAGGCACTCATAACAATAGATAAAGCCCTCACTTTTCAAATGAACACTTGAAAGCAGCCACTATTGTGTTGAAACTGGAGTCAGTTTCTTTCTTTACCAGAATTCCATTATACTGATTGTAGCGTTTTGATTCTAGGCATGGCTGTTTCACTCCAGGACAGTACCACTGTGCTCGCAAGTGCTGACCTAGTTAGCAATACATTAATCAGGGTAAAATGATGTTAGTGAAGTGGGGGCTGTAGAACTAAGGGTGAAAATATTATCCTCTGAAAGAAATAATTGTAGTGTTTCTGTTTAGATTTATCCCCAGTGACCATTTGGGATGTTTGATATAGTGAACATATCTGTGGCAACCATATTCTTCGAGAAAACTTTTACTTATTTGTTATAATTTATTTTGTGAAGTTAAAAAAAGAGAGATTGGATTAAAGACAATGTAGTCACAATTTAATTGCTATTATTCCCTATCACCTAGAATGTCAACATTGGGATGAAGCCAAAGATGTTGCTTAATGGTGACGTATACAATGAAAATTTTTTCCCAATATTTGTGGTTGTGTGAACATTTTATTGGAATTTTCTCTTTCTTTAGCAAATGTATACTTTTAAACTTTTGTTTTTATTGTTTGCTTTACTAGTAACTGACATATCACTTCCGATTTTTCACATAAAGGGCTAAGCTATGGAATTGTAAGATTTTCCTTCATAGTTGTTGGAAGATCTTTTAAGAGAGGATAGAGTAAGCTGGTTCTTCTCATAAAATATGTAAACATTTTGTTAGTGCTAGATTATCTTCTTGAATTTAACTTCTCATATTTCTTGGGTGATCAATCTCTCTGTGTAGGGGAAACATAATAGTTATCCCTGTTTCTATGTCTAGAAATAATTTATGGTAAGTAGACATGCCTCTTGATTTAACCAGTTTAAGGATGGTATTAGGCTAGTTTCTATATATGTAGTGAATAAGATTGATGATAAGTTTGAATTAAGTTCCTAGATCAATGCATTGTGATAAGTAAGACATTTTAGACCAAGAAAAAAATCTGTAATTTTCTGAGTATTATCATTCTGTGAAAATATGGATTGAAGCTGGAACTCTACTAGGTAACATAGTTAACACATATTTATGAAAGTGGTGATACATAACCAGAATGTAACTTAGTGGAATATAAGCCTCTTAATGGTAGGCAATTTGTTCTGTTCGCTCCTGTTTTTCCAGTGACTAATAGCAGTATAATAAATATTTATTGAATATAAACAAAAAAAGATAATTAAATGGATAGAATAAGGAATTGTAATTTTAAACTTATGATTGCTAGTATGTAGTTTTGCTTGAAAACTTTTTATCTAATTAGAATAAAAATTTAAGAACTGACATTAGTATCAAAAGACTGATATATGTACCATAAATCTATCTCATTTCTTTCTAGGCAAAATGGTCAGCATGTGACTGGCAGCATATTGTTGCTTGGCTTTGATGATGGTTACACATTTTACTCCACGTTGTTTTTATGCCTTTTTGTATTAAACTGGACATGCTTATTTTCAGAAAATTTGAGTTTTATTTTGTAGTATAAATTAGGAAATAGATAATTATTTTAAAATTAGTTTTGTGAAAAAAAAATCTTTCCTCCATAGAAGGTAAGGGGATCAGTTGGCATTCTTACAGGTATAAACTTTAGAGTTTTATTTGTTAAAGGCGAAGTTTGCCATTGCATCCATCTGATTACCATATCCATAGTATTACCAAATCGTAAGTTATACGCTCTGAGTACTTTGATCAGTGGTTACTTAATTTTATGTAAAATTTAGGAGGTAACATAGGGAGTATGAAATGCCATTCTTTGTCATTGAAGCAAATGTCTTTTCTTTCTTACTGGTGGTTTAGATTAAAATTTAAGCAAGTAAATAGGATCATGATTTGCTTTAAGCCTCTGTATTTATTTGGCTGTAACAAAAATACTTCATTTCAGCATTCACTATTAGGTGTCTATTCAGAGTGCTCATTTGCTACAATTTTTCTATGAAAAAATGTAGCTTGAAATGGATTCTCAGCTTTACCTTATGTTTGTGTAATTCTTCATGCAGATAGGTTTAAAAGAAACATACAAGATACCTGAGCAAATTCTTGCTGACCTATACAGTACCGTCATCCTAATAGGTCATATTTCAGCTCCTATGTTTTTGACAAATAGCCTGGCTCTAAAAGGTTCTGTCCGTGGTGCTGAAACCTCTTATGATGTATGAGCATGTCTTGCTGATAAATTCTAATGTCAGCCTCTGTGTGATAGTGATTCATCAGGTTATAAAATTTTTGTTTTGGAAACACATTGAATTAGCAAGTTTCGTGCTTTGGTTTTGTTAAAATTAACACAGTTCGTCCTTCTGTTTTAAGGAGTTCATAACAATTACCTTCTACATTGTCAAAAACTACTAGGATTTAATTAGAAACTGTCAATGCTATCACAAAAGCAAATGTCTACTATTAACAAATAAATCGATATGACTACAGTGCTAGAAATATTTTCAGGCCAGTGACATGTTAATAATATGCAGCAAGCTACTGTAAGAAAAGTTAAGTACTTGGTTATGAACAGACACAGCGGCAATTAACATGGAAGCTTTGCAGCTTTGTAGAGATAAAAAATTTGCCTATAAAAAATATGGCTTATTATCTTGGATAGTTTTTATTGTTTCATGGTGTTTCCTTTGTACACAAATGCGTTTGTTTTTCAGGACTGTGGGTTTTCTTTGTATATATGACTAAAACTCTAAAAGATCTTGATTGTTTTTTCCAAGTGAAATCCTTATATTTTCTATATAAGATTCTTAAATACTTAGTAATGTCCTAGGTACTTCAATTCAATGATTCTCATTTTTTTTAAGCTGTGTTTTTTAGGTGCCTTAAATGTAGTCATAGAGAACCACACTTAATTTTTCATTTTACTCAAATTAATCTCAGAAGCTTTTCTTCTCATTAGCAAAACTGTCCTCTTAAATTTCTATTGAACTCTGGAGTTATCTGATTTACGTATTTTTATACTGGGGTGAACTAAATAAAAGGGGGAATTTTATAAAATTCACCCTGATAAACTTCTTCTACTACTAATTCAATATATTTTAAAGTAAAATTCTGAAATCCTACTCTTGGAAAATCCTAGTCTTTTAAAACTCTAAAATCCATTGTTATCCTGGGGGAAAGAACCATCCACTTTGATCATAACAGACTTTGAGTCAGCACCAACTAGATTACTTACTATTCAAGTACATAAACCTTCTTCTTTTGGGGTCATGTAGAAGATGTTGTTTCATTGCTACCTTTGCAACATAGCAAATTATTAGATCATTTGCTTGTTTCACAGTGAATCTCATGAAGTGTTTAGAATCACAGCAAGATTTAAAAATTACACCTAGATTATTAGTCCCACAAAAGTTTAGCAATATTTTCTGCAAAGCAAGCGGTCTAAAATTGAGCTACTACTAATTATTAAAATAAGACTTTTAGTTCCTCAGACGTTGGATTTACATTTGTGAACTTGATTAAATCCACTCCAAAAGCTGCTTGTTAAGAAAAGAAAATCTTTAAGTGAATACATAATTTCCTAGAGGATTTCTTTCTCAATGAAGGGTTAAAGACAATGTTATTGTTGTCTTTCAATATTGTTAAAGTGCCTTCTAAAATCCATTTTTGTGCATTATAAAAATGTAGTTACAAGACCCAGTAAAAGTGTCTTACTCTTAGCATTTCAAATTTCATTATAGAAAAACAAATTTAAAAACATCATTTAAATGATATCTGGTCAGATGACATTTCCCAGAAATTATTCTTTATTTAGAAACAAAAACAAGACAAAAGCAATTGATTTTAATCCAAAATGTATTTTTCCTTATAAAAGAGGTCCACATACTCACTGTGTCTACTCTACAGAATTTGTCCATTTTGTTACACCACGTGTCAATTCAAGTTTATCTGGTCACTGCAAAAACTCGTGGCTAATATGTGTAATACAACACAGGAGGAGGTATTGCTCAGTTCAACTACTCTTATATACTTAAAAAAAATACAGAAATGTTTTTGTCCACTTTAACTGTAGTCCAGACATAAAAGTTACATGAAAGTTCTAGAAAATGGAATTATTTTATTTGGTTGCCACAGTACCCTTTGAAGCCAGTTAGTTAAAATGCTGAACTTGTACATATTTCCATTGGTCAGGAGCAGCATTGGTGATGCTTAAACGTCTTTCTAGAAAGTAACGTTTCTCTGCCATTTTTTTTTTTAAGCACAACCATAGTTTTGAGCTTTTCTTTGAAGTAGGTTTAGTTGGTTGTTTTTAGGACATATTTGTTGGCACACCTATAACAGTTGCTTTTACTTCCAATGCTGTACCTTTTTCTTTGCCTGCTTCCCAGAGATTGATCAGAGGAGGATAAAGCTCACTGAATGCAAAGCTTGGTTTCTGTAAGTAATTCCCCACATAGCTATGTCCACCATCCAAGTTCATTTCTTGAGAGAGGCAGCTGAAAAGACATATCACCCCAATAATCCCCAGAAAGCCTCCAAGGCAGGCCATATATGTTGTGGTGTTTCTCTTTTCATATTCTTTTCGATCAGGGTCCAAACCTTTTGTGGTGACATTTACACACTGTTTTCTGTTCTTTTGATAGATGGTGGGGATATCAATACAAATTTTATACTCAGTTGATGGGTTCAGATGAGTGAGATTATAGACCTTGACATCAGATGGTATTCGAGCACTTTGGGCAGCATAGGAAGTTTCAGTCTTGACAAAGGCTGTCCACTTAACACTGGATTTGAGAATTTTAGAACTTGCTTTCCAGGATACCAGGACTGAATTGGCCTGAACATCTTTTATTTTAATATTCAAGGATCCATTGTTATCCTGGGGAAAAGAACCATCCACTTTGATCATAACAGACTTCAAGTCAGCACCAACCAGGTTAGTTGCTATACAAGTATATAAACCCCCTTCTGTTGGGGTTATGCCACTTATATCTAGTGTGCCTTCAGAGTGGACATAGAACTTGTCTGTCAGAGTATTGGGCAAGAGTTTTTGACCAGAAGGTGTTATCCAGTAGATTTCAGGCTGTGGCTCTGCAGTAGCTCTACAGTGTAAGGAAATATAGCTCCCAGCTTCTAAATCCACGTTAGAAGGAAAACTCTCAGGAGCTATAAGAGGGAGACAAATTTCCATCATTTCCCTGAAATGCACCTGCCGAACATTCTGGCCTTGGAATTCAGGTGGGTCCACGCAAAACAGTGAATCTGGCTCCATAAATCGAATGTTGGTTTTGTTCATATTAATCCAACGGATGACACAGTCACACCTGATGGGATTGCTGTGTATGCTGATTTCCTTGAGGTTAGGCAGAGACTCAATTGTACCATGGTACAGGGCACTGAGGGCATTGCTGTTAAGCATGAGTGATTCCAGCTTGGGTAGTCTGAAAAATGCATTAGGGTGAATGTAAGACAACCTGGGGTTGTTAGTAGCTTCTATTTTTCTTAAATCTGGCAAGTTATCCACAGCAAGACTGTCGATGGAAATTAGCTCGGGCATATTATTTATCCCCAACTCCTTTAAGTGTAGCATATTGCTAAAATCACCCCTCCTTATTCTATTAATGGGGTTTTTATTTAGATCCAAAAATTTGAGGTTTACAACTTTTTGAAGAGCAACATGGGGTACTTTAATAAGCCTGTTGTCATAAAAAGAGATGCTTTCTAAGTTTTCAAGTCCAACTAAAGCGTTATCTGGTATTTCCGTAAGGTTTATACCAGCTATAACCAGGCTGCGAAGATTGATAAGCGGCTTAAAGTTCATGTCTTTGATTCTGATGATTGGATTTTCGCCAATCATCAGAATCTCCAGGTTGGGAAGAGCGTCAAACCACTTACTGTTGATCATCTGCAATCTATTTGAATTGAGATGAAGTCGCAGAAGATTATGTAGGCCAATAAAAGCTCCGGGTGAAATTGTAGAAAGCAAGTTGTGATTAATATAGAGTTCTTGTAAGTTGCTCAGTCCAGACAGACATTTTTCAGGCAGCTCAGTAAGTTTGTTTTCCTCTAGGTACACAGAAAGAAGCTGGGGCATCTTTTTTACATTAATATTGGTGACTGAAGATAAGTTGTTTTGCGATAAGTCCAGGCCGGTAAGGTTTACTGGAAAGTCTGTGGAGTATTCGATTTTTGCAATATTGTTAGTCTGTAGGAGCAGAATCTGTGTGTCAGCAGGCAATCTGGCTGGGAAATTTAAAAGACCTAAATCATTACAATCCACTGTAGATGCCTCCATATAAATGGATTTAGGTGTAAACCAAGGCCTGATTTCACATGTACATAATTGTGGGCATTCCACTTTTTTATCTACAGCTTGTACTAGTGTAGTGATAGCTAGGCCAAGTAGCACATGAATTTGGAGTGGCATGTCCTTCATCTTAGCTTTCTTCTTAGAAATTTAATGGGCCCTTAAGGTTTCCACAGTCACTGCTAGTAAGTTCAGTAAGAGCTGATTGATAAGGAAAATAGTTGCATTTGTCAAATAATGAATGCCATTGAACTGCAAAGGTTTTCTTCATGGAAATTAGTGCCAATGCCACAACTGCATTGTCCAGAAATGTCATGCATATTGGAAAAAAGAATGTCACTATCTCCTTTATGATAGAATATTGGCACACTTTTTGAAGATGAAGTATGTATAGATGGTCACAGGAAATTGAGCAATTCATTTATTTAGGAGTAAAATAGTCAAATCCCATGCTTGTTCTGTACTTGCAGGAATAGCAGCATGATGCTAACTATAATAAAAGGAAATATAAAAGAAGAAAGAGAAAAATAATTAGTCCACAGGAAAAAATACCATAATATCCATTAACTAATTATGATTATTTCATATATAATATTCTTAAAATTTACAGCTAATTCAATATGTTTTAATGACTTTATCCTTGTTATGACTGTCCTTGATGGTTATCACCTCAGACACTGGACAGGCTGACAAATTGAATCTTTACAAGGCTGAAGTTACGTTAAACGTAATGAATATGCTTCCAGAATTTTTCTATTTCAAATCTTTACTTGTTTATACCTTGTAATTTTATTTATTATATTTATCACTCTCTTTGGCAATTAGTTATAGGAAGAAAAAAGAAAAATTTTCAGTGATGGCTTTTATTTTCCTCTTAGGCAAAAATAAAAGGTTATAAGTAAATAATACTGTTCAGTTGCATTCAAATGAGTCAGCCTGTGGTTTTTCAGGTTTGCAGGAGACTACATTTAGAAATAAAATTGTAAAACGAACTAGAAGTAGTGGTAATTAGCTGGATTTTCCATTTTCATTCGTAGTTCTCTCCATAGTCTCTTTTGTACAAAACGACTTGAATTTTGCAATATTTGGAAGAGATTAAGTCTAACTTGCCGTAGCTATAGCTATATATTGTCATTCTTTACTGAAATTCGGATTAATATTTGACTATTTAATTTTTTCCTGAAAATAACTTAGATTCTGTTAGTCACTAAAAATGAAACAATAACTTTATTACAAAAGAGAAAACAGATATTTAGATATTGCTTCTTTGAAATGGGTACTGAAGTCTTTATCACATAAAAATAAGCAATCCAAAACCAAGTTGCAATTTTGATATGTGCCGTATTTTAAAATCTCGCAATACTTTTAGATAGATGCTCTGTCAGTTGGAGTGCTGGTGGGTTCTCCTTGCAAGTGTACAAGACAGCTGGAGCACAGCTGGACAATTCATTCTGGGGCTTTTCACCTGCTAGCAATAATGGTCTGCTAAACAATCAGTCTGTTGATACTGTTCTTTCTTTCACCTATGAATATTGACATTCATAATGGCATTGTTGACTGACTCTAAGATAAGATGGGTACTTCAGTGACAGAGATAAATGTATTTGGAGATGTAGCCTCTACAGAGAGATAGAAACATTTCTTTTTTTAAGTAAAAAAAAAATCCTTGTTTTTCAAAACTGTAGAACATTTACAGTTCAAAGTCACTCCTAATTTTCCTCTTATCTTTTATTTTAAGAGATGTGATTTTATCTAAAAACTGGGTCGTGAAGTTCAGATAACTACTAAGTTATCGTGAATTAAAAGAGTCTTTGCTTTTTTCAATTATTTCCTCTGTTTGCTGATCTAAAATCTCCCCCCCCCACCGCCCTTTATTTTTTACTGTCCTTTTAGGCTATTATATGTTTAAGTAGTCTCTAAGCCCCTTGAGGAAAGAATTTAATACAGCTCCTTCTTCACTGAAGATGCCTATAAATCCTTAGGGCACACAGCCCTCCACAATCTGGGGCCTCTCTTCTCTTTCTCTATGTATCTCCTCATCTTCTGCCATTCTCCTGCACGCAACCTTCTCTCTGCTGATGGAGCTATGGTGCCTCACCCTCTTTTTCTGCCTGGATTGTCTGTTTTAAGTTAACTCTTGCTGTTTTTTCAAACCTCAGTTTAAGCATCACCTCTCTGGGAATCTTTCCGTATAACCCTTCCCTCTGAGTTGTACTTAGCTGCCCTCCCCAGTGGTCACATGGCCCCTGCACACTCCTCTGTCAGAATATTTACATGGTTCTTTCCCTCAACAGACACCCACCTCCTTGAGAGCATGTGGCCTGCCTGACTTTGCATCCTCAGCTCTTGAGCGTGGTAATTAGAACAAAGTAGATGCTCAAGAAATGTATTGAATGAACCGATAAGTGAATTATATTAATTAATAAATGTATATATTCATCTTGGCTACATATAATTTAAGCAATTGCATCTGTTTGATTTCCTACTTTCAGTATTCAGCTGCTTAAACTTGCATAAATCTATTACTTACACAGAGTGTATGTTATCTATATTACTAAAATCCAAAGATTAAATTTGAGTGTAATACAAAGGAACATTAGACTTTAAAGAAAAGTCAGTCCAATATTATATCTATAGTTTATTCTTTAATTTATTCAGTAAACATTTAATGAGCACCTTCTCTGTGCCAGTTGTTGGTTTAGTGGTTGGAGGATAAAAAGATGACTTAGACATGGTGTCTTCCCTTCATACGTTTTCAGTCTGTAGGGAAGCATGAGTAAACAGATGGTTACAATTCAGGGTGAGAGCTCATATGAGAGTGCATAGGAGGGGCACCCAAATAAAACTAAAATAGAAATTTATTGCCTCTTTATACCCAAAATGAAGAAAAAGCCTAGGTACAAAATACAAAATACATTTCTGCAAGTTCTGATAAATCACTTAGTTGAGAACTGAGAAATCATAACTTCTGCCAATTAATCAGTTAGACCTGCTTTCTCCAGCAGGGCAAAGAGATGCCCATATCCTCCTTTATGTTAACTAGAGGATTAGACATGTTAAAGGTAAAACATTCTTTTTGGGAGATGTTAACCTATCAATGCCACTTTTTATTTTGAAATTATTCCTGTGTTTTCTTAAATATATATCTATGTTTAATTAGAAACTCTCTTCTGACCACATTTCATCATTTATATGGCTGTATACCAGAAAAAAACACATTGAACTAGATTTATTCTGGAAATTTTTGAAAATAAAATGGGTTCTTATAGTGGCGAGCAAATTCAAATTTTATTTCTCCAGGTCTGTAGGAAGAAATTGTCAGTAAGGAAGCACACTAGAGGATATGGAAATTTTGCCTTTCTTTATTGTAAGATTGATTTTTTCTCATTTCTTTGGAAATGATTGTGCTGCTTTCACTAATGGACTATTTGGCATGGAGCGTTTGCAGGATAGTGAGGAAGTAATAACATCTTACCTCTTACCGCTTTATGCTTGTAACAGCTCTTTCTTATTCATTGTTTATTTTATGTTAATAATGACCTTGTGAGACAAGTTGGGGAGGCACTTTAATCTCCATTTTTTATGTAAGGGTATTGAGATCACACAGCTAATACATGAGGGGCTGGGATTAGAACCCAGGTTTTGTCTTTAGGCCTGCAGTTCTTTCTGGTAAACCACATTGCATAAGTATGTAGAAATGTGATACAATAGTTTTAATAAAAAGGTAGTGTAGTGATTTTATTTCTCAGGCAGGGCTGGCATTACCTTGGTCTTTAGATTTTCGAATTTAAAAAATTAATTTTATCAATCTACTAATAGTGACTAGGGTGTGAGTCACATTAACCAAACTCACAGGGGTCAAAACCAAAATGCCAATACATTACAATGCAAAATATGACTGTCAAGAGAATAGAAATACCTGAATCTGCTGATCATTGCTTTTGCTCCATTTCAAAAATATACTTGAAAGTACAAATTATGAATCCACAGTTTGCTTGTGAATATAGAATCAGAGCCTGGGAAGTTAGCTTAGAGTTCCTAATTATCTGTCATCAGAAATGATAGCGTGACATAGCTGCTTTAATAAAGTGTGTATTGTCACAGGAACTGGACCTTTTGAGTCTCATGGCTCTTGGCACGACCTCAGACTCCAAATCCTGGTCAGCTTTTCCTGGATTCATTCTTGATCACCTGTCGTCTTTGTCTTAATAATTTTTTACATTTCTTTTTTCCCTTAGAGGACATAAAATTATTAGACATTAGATTATTAGATTATTCCCTTACTAGATATGAGATTATTAGATTATTACTCTCTTACTAGATCATGAGATTATTAGTATTAGGGACTGTCTTCAATTAACTTTTGATTTGATTGTATTGAATACATTTGATGGATTGATGAGTACCTATCCCAGTAGCTCCCAGTACAGGTCATTAAACAAATGTTTGCTAAATGATAACTGACAAATGTGTCTTTCTATAATTTGTATGGGGTGATAGCATATGGAATAGTGATTAAAATGACTTTTTTTTCTTCCTAAGGAACTGACAATAAACAACACATAAAAAAATAAAGAGAAAAAATATGCTCCCAGATTTTTACAGAAATTTTTCTTTTTTTTTTTTTTTTTTTTTTTTTTTTTTTTTTTTTTTTTTTAAGATTTTATTTTTTCCTTTTTCTCCCCAAAGCCCCCCCGGTACACAGTTGTATATTCTTTGTTGTGGGTCCTTCTAGTTGTGGTATGTGGGACGCCGCCTCAGCGTGGTTTGATGAGCAGTGTCATGTCCGCGCCCAGGATTCGAACCAACGAAACACTGGGCCGCCTGCAGCGGAGCGCGCGAACTTAACCACTCGGCCACGGGGCCAGCCCCTAGAAATTTTTCTTAATGTTTGGTGTTAAAGTAGTAATATCACAGTTATACTACAAAGTGTCCACTGGCAAAACAGAAAGTGGTTCACTTTACACACACCGATTTAAAACAGCTGTTCTTTAGAGCTACCTTTTCACTTGATCACTGAGGAAATGGTTTCTGCTGTTGTCTATTTTGAGATCTGGGCTAGATAACAATTATAATGGTGGTGTTAATTTTAGGAGGAGAGAGTTCTATTTGTTTTTCTTATGTATCTGTATGAAAATTTTTAAAAATATCAAACTAGTTATATAACTAAAAAATAAATTGACCGTCTTAGTACCATTTTCAATTTTTGAGAATTTTAATGCCCTAAACCTCTCACTTTTATCCTCTTTCTTCCCTATCTTTCCCTCTCCCACATTTTTTTTTTGAATACATTGAAAAAAAATAAACTCTTTGAAAATATTTTCAAGCTTAGAAAACTTGCATTGCATAATTATTGATATACTTACATAATTTCCCTACTCCATCAATTTCCTGGGATTTTGTTTTCTTTTAAAATAGAAGTAGGAAAATTTTACTTAAAAAACATCGATATTTCAACTTGGGTTTTAAAGATTTTAGGATTGTCACTTGGGAAGATGCTCTGGAGCCAACATAGGGACTGGAACACAATAAGCCTTCAATAAATAATTATATTATGGAGGGATGGGTGGATGGATATAAAGCGGACAGCACATAGATAAAATATGTTGCTTTTCTTTCTTAAAATATGGTAAATAATCCATATACAAGTAAATGTGAGTAATCGTAGCTGCATTTTCATTAAATAATTCCTTGTTGTTAGGATGAAGATTCATATATGTGGTCATACTTAGGAGCTAAGAACCAACTCATAATTAACTGTTGTTGTTTTCAGTTGTTTTTTGATGTAAAACTGTTTTAGAAGGTCATTCTCGTACCTTCTTTTAGTTTTAAAGGCAACAGAATCTTTCATATACTAAAGCAAAATGAATTATAATGGAATATTATAAAAGTTCAGAAGGTAATGTTAATGAAGTGTCACCAGAAATGAAAACTGTCTCAATGAAATGTATTACATAAAGCCTCTTTTAAATGATTTGAACGAATGACTTATGCAAGTTCAAAGTCAGCCGTCATTTGAGCTTATCACCTATCTCCTCTTTCATTATTTCTTCCATTCAATCTTTCAATAAATATTTGCTCAGGGCCTACTGCATCAGTCCCTGTGCTTTCATATCTAATCTCTTCATTTTATAAGATTTTTACAAGTTGAAAGATTAAATTTTTTTTTTCCTCGGCAGGATATAATTTGGCAGTTAACTTAAGGCTTTTCTTTTTTTTTGTGAATTTATTTAGACCTTTTTTTTAAAAAAATTTAAAAAGCATTTTACAATGTGGAATTTTCCTAATACATATGTCCTTTTGTGCATTCTGAATTTTTCTCACAGTATCTTTAGCTTTTCTTATTGGTTCCTCCATGTAGATTTTGCCTGAGGGAGAGTCAAAGACCTAAAACATTTTATATACTTTAAATTCTACATCTATGTATAATTATACTCTGGTCAGCAGCACAAAATCTCGTAGTTTAGGCCATTAAAAGAAAGCAACATTAAGAATTCTCATAACTTATAATATTTTTAATACCAGCAGACACTCATTGTAACTCGAGATTTCTTTAATCTAAAAATAGAAATTGTTTGTAGATATAATTATATATGGAATGTTTTAGGGCAAAAGCTACATTTTCCTTGGTAAAAAGATCATCATTCTTCAGGCTCATCTTTTTTTCATTATTTATGAAACATTCATCGAACATCTACTTTTTGGCAGGCACTGTTGTAGACACTGGAAAGTCAGCAATAAATAAGATGAAATAGCTGCTCACCAAGTTCTCGGCTATTGAAGGGGTAAATAGCAGAGGAAGCTGCACAGTACAGGTGGCTTAAATGAAAGTATGAGCACTCTCTGTGGATGTACAAAGGAGGGATTGCTTAGTTTTGTTTGTCCAACAGAAACAAAATGAATGTTCTGTGTTCTTTTATAATGGTTATAAAAAATCAACTGAAGTAGTGGGGAAACACTTGGGTAAGAAGATTTAAAATCCACTTTCTTTCAGATGAATTTTTACAATGCTAAAGCTTGAGAACAAAGTGTGGCTTCTCTCCTGTACCTCATTATGTGTATGATAAAGACTACAGAGTCTGAAGAAGAGAAACATTTGGATACTTAGGTTCAAAAATGGTGAAGTTAGAAGTTGCCATGGCTACACTGAAGACCAGTTTTTCCTTTTCTTCTCTAGGAAATTGCCAGCTAAATTCATTAGTATAAAGAACTTAAATTCTATTCTCCCATTATCTGACTTTATATTCTCTTGTTGTAAGACTCAGTCTTTCTTCAATTCTAATTCAAGGTTTCATATTCCAAAGGTATTGTTGAATTATACTAAATGCATTCCTATAAAAGCCTATTCTTTTTTCATTGGGAAATATTTATTTTCCAGATTTTCAAAACTAATTGTTTGAATTTGTATGTCAACTTTCAGGAAGTGGATAATGGTAACTAATTAGAATAGTTTCATGAATGCTACCTTAAAATATTCATCTGTTAATAAAAAGTTCATATGGGGAAGAAAATTTGCGTTGTGTTATGAAGTGTGGGACAGGTTTACTAGGTGATTTTGTAATTGTGGATATGGCACCTTACTTTCCTGTGCTTCAGCTTATTGATCATTAAAATTTAGAAATTGATTATATGACCCTTCACATTCTAAACTTATATGATACTACTCTGTGAACATGAATGATTTTTTTTAAAGGTTTCCAAACAATGGGTGTGGGTAAACTGACTTATCCAATTTTAACCTTTGTATTGAATTAATCGCAAGTTTATATTCAGTACTCTAGTCCTACATCATTAACTCATTAGTATCAGTGATTTTTAGCCATTATGAAGCTTTTAAATGCTATCAGATTAATTACCTGCCATTATTTCTATTTCATTTTATGTTTATATCTACACAGTAGTAAAGGAGGAAGAGAGTTACTTTAGTCATCAAATTAAGGCAAACTAACCACTGGGTAAGTAAATTGCCTGGATTAGGTCCCTTAATCAAATAAATGAAGCAAAAATGAGTTGTCAGTAGCTATTAATATTGATATATGAACAATATATCCATTATGATTTTTTTCTAATATGAGGATAAGGATTTTTTATCGTATTGAAATCTCAGCCTCCTGAATAAATTTTCTGTCATATAAAATTAGCATGTTTTTGGTGTCATAGAAATTTTTAGCTAGAAATGGACATAGAAATCCATTGATTCTCAACTTCCTTTCATCTGTGAAACCCTTTATTTAAATAAAGTTTACCTAGAATCACAGTAAGTCAAACATAGGCAAGATCTGTTCTGGTCAGCATGGGAGGTGGGGTGGTGGAGGAGTGTATGGTGAGGCAGGTATCTGGAAAGATCTAGATGGTACCCAGCTTGGCCTTCCTGTACATAGCGTCTGATCCTGAAGGGACTCCAAACACCTCAGTTTCTGAACTATCTATCTGCTCCACTCTTCTCTTACAAATGAGGTAATGGAGGCCCTTAGATATGAAATGACTCATGTAAAGTGGTTCATTTTGGAGGAGTGTTGAAAATTTGGAGAGACTTCAGGCATTCTTTTTAATTCTCCACCATCGTCTCAGTCTATAAGCCTGCCACAGTTAGGTCTGTTTCTCTTGGCCTTGACTGAATGCAAATTGGCCTCTCTCCTTTCAAGGTGGGAAGAATCCCTGAGTGTGGTGTGATAGTGCTCAGCCTCAATGGTAAGTATTAGCTGCATAAGGCATGGGGCTGGGAAGAAGGAAATGCTGTGGAGGAAGGTGGATGTGCTAGGAGCAGTTAATAATAATATATCAGTGGCAAACATGTCCCTTGTGCCACTGGTCTTGTGCTGTACATGAATTTTTACAGGTAATCCTCACGTCAGCTCTCTTTGTAGACACTAGTATTATCCTTATGCTTCATGTGAGGCCAAAGAGGTAAAATGATTTGTCAATTCATACTGTCTCAGATGTAGATTCAAATCTCTTCGTCTTGCCTCCAAAGCCCAGTCTTAATCACTTAGCCAATTAATTGTGAAATTAATTAAACAAGGAGACCATTAGACTGAGGTGGCTCTAATATCATGACAGCCTACATAAGCAAACCAAAATCTAAGCCTGTAAATGCCTCAAGGTTATGAAATTGAAACCAAAGGACAAGCAATCACAGCCAGCCAACTAGGCTTTAAGCTCTAACCAATCAATAATTCCCTTTCTCTGCTTCCACACTTTCTCTATAAAGGTCTCTCTCCAGGCTCCTGTCAGTGGAGCCTCTTAACCACTTCTGGTTTGGTGCTGCTCAATTGGAATCAATTTTTGCTCAAATGAACTCTTAAAATTTTGATATTCCTCAGTTTGTCCTTTAATACCTCTAAGCATTTTGTCTTCTCAAATGTTTATTAACATAACACCATTCACCTTGGTATCTTTTCAGAAATGTGTGTCCTCCAACTGGATGGGAACACTGTCTTTTGTTGTTATTTGTTTCTCCTTTTGTGTTAGAAAAGTTTTACTCAGATGAAATTTAGGAGGCAGTTGAGTTGCAGAAGGGGAAGTAGAATAAGAAAACCTGTTTTCTAGGCCCAGTTTTGCTGTGTGATTCAGATAAATCATACTACTTTCTGAGTCTTAGTTTCCCCCAAAATGTGGCGTTTTGGAGAAGATTTTCACTTTTGTTTCCAAGTTAATTCTTAATATTCTAGGAAATCCGAAGGAGATTACTTATAGCGTTGCTATTATAAAGAAGTCTGTTTATCAGAGCAAAATTATTTTTGTTATTGTACAGAATTTATGTACTGAAATGTATGTAATGTGTACCCATATATTTAATACATACTGTCTTTCAGAATGGTTTCCTTAGATTCTCATATTTTCAGATGCTCAAATCAGTTGAGATTCTTAAACTATAAGATTCTCTCTTATTATGATAGGAATAGCTGTGGGTAAAAAGAAGAAAAAGAAGACAGATTTGATATTATTTTGTGTCTTTGTCATGTTCAAGACATTATATTTGAACACAGAGAACATTAGTGCAGATCTTGAACAAGTCATGTACTATTTCCATCCCTTATGAAACTAAGTTCATCTGACTCCTGAGATTAAAATGTAGGCCTTGCAGTGAATTTCTTTCAGAGAAACCAGGAGTAACTTAAATAGCACAATTCTTTTTTTCTCCCAAATCTTAAAATACACTTTGGGCAGATTTTGAGGAAGTCTTGGGCTTTTTATCTTTGTTCTTCTGCTCTTTTCAGAATTTGAAGCTTGTGCTATGTGGGGGATCCATAGGGATAAAGTAAAATAGGATCAGGATAGTTTTCTTTAAAAAATAATTCCAAGGTAGCACCCCAAAACATCAGATTTGTGGAAGTTAGTTACAGCACAGTTATAATCAGGAAGAATAATTTTCAGTGCAAAAATGCCTCCTTTATAATTTTCTTTTAGAGAGTGGGGAATGAAATCTGAGTTTCAGAAGTGTTTCATATTGTATAGTGATTTCTGGATACTCATAAATTTCCAGCTTGTGATATTGTCATTTCTCATTATGAAAAGAATTCTGATTTGTATTTATTTTTAATTATAGTTTTTGCTCAACTGAGCACTTCATTAATAGCGTTATATGTGAAGTTGGTTTTTGTACATGATTAGCAAAACAAATAATATTTCTAAGCCAGAACTTGTCTCTCTACGCTTGTATTTCTTCTATGAGAATCACTGCAAGTATTGGGGAACTCTAATTTATAATATGGTAAAAAAAGTACTTCATTCAATGCTGTGTAAGAGGCAATGGATTTTGATTGCCTGATTTGCTTTTTTAACTTTTTTATCATTCGCTTGTTATTTAGCATTTGTATAGTCCCAAGTGTAGGCATCAGCGGGGAAAAGCACTCATTTATGCATTATCCTTAACATTCGCTCATCTTAGATTGAAGTATAATCATCTTATTTTCTGAATTGGGAAACAGAGTAATAGAAAACTTCCTTCAAGTTACAATTGAACTATAGATCTCTATTTGGGTGATTAACGCACTTTAGCAGCAGGGTGTTGTGAAAGCATTCAGATCCCAAAATTAGGAGAAGACCTTGTGACCTTTAGTGACTTCATTTCTAAAATGAGAGGTCCCTTCAAGCTCTATAATTATGTAACTTTTGTAATAACCTTAAATAAATAAGCTCAAAACTATTTCAATATGTTTCCTTGTGCAAAGATAATATTACTGACAGATATTGACAGAATTTGCACAGAGATTTCATGGTATTTTCAAGTTTTCCTCAAGGTTATTTACACATTATATATATGTGTCAAACTGGGGCATATAGATAGGGTGCTAATTTTACTAGGCTCAGAAGTAGTCTATTAAAAGATTCTTAAAACCTGTATAAAATAGAGAATTTGGAGGGTTTTTTTTATTTGTATGTCAGGAAGAACTTAGGTATGTTTGTGAGAGAAATACCTATTCTCTTGACAAAATGTGTGTGTGCATGTGTGTACTGAGATCCTTTAGTTCTGTTCTCAACATTCTCAATATGATCAACTAAACTTATATACTGAAGTTTCCCATTTTGTTCCAATTTTTATTCCTATCTGTACATGTTTTGGTTAATTGGTGTAGTTACGCTTTAAATTATATTTAAAAAATTTCACATGGGTCAAGAGGAAAAGTCTTACTACGTATGCTTTCCTTTTTCCCTCGATACTTTTGATTTCTAAAGGCTCATTCTTATAGTTTAGTTCCAGTTTATTTGGGAAACTAGTGCAGTGGGATGATTTGTAAATGATACCATCCTTTTATCTTCAAAGCATTTCCAGCTACATTTGGAGATGGTTTCTCAAGGCAAACTCCCCTCATTAAATGACAGAAGAAATACTTATAGGGTGCCTTGCAGTACAATGGTTTGGAAATGCATGTCTCATGTAGACCCTCTTTCAGTTATCCTATATTTCAGATGAATGCATTTAGGGTAATTATCCAGATAATTCAAGCAATTTTTAAATCATTTTTTTCTTCATTGGAAGACAGACAAATACCCGAACCTAAGTATTTGAAGTCTCAAATCTTTGAGTTACCTGAAGACTGTGCCTGTCCCTGGTGTAGTGAAAAGAAAAGAAACACTAATTCCAGCTTGAGTCGATTCCATGGACCAGGTACATGTACGCTGCCTGTGCTTTCTGATCCCACAAGCACTGCTCTTCCTAGGGTCTTCTACATGGGAGGACGTGATTGGCACATACACCAAAAAAGAAAAAGAAAAAACAGTTTGTTCTCTATAGCTTGCCACAGTAAATGCTTTTATGCTAATCTCAGGAGGGATGGTTTTTGAAGCAGAGACATAATGTAAAAGGATGGGTGCAAAAAGATTTTCATCATGTTTGTACTCCTTGATTAACTCACTTTGGCAGAACAGAAAGTCATTGGTTTGTAAAGGAGATAAGGGACCCTCTGGACAAGAGTCCAATGAGATACTCTAGATAGAGAATGAAGACTATTTTAGTTGCAATATTATTATAGAAAACTCAAAATTACGTTTCAGAGAAGAATGTTCCTCTGACAAGAACTCAGAGTAGATGGTCTCTGGGTAGTTCAGTTTCTGTTCTGCATATAATAAAATCAGTTTTCATGCTGTTAAACAAAAACAGTATGAATATCAGTGTTTTATATTTTTACTAAGAATTGTGAAAATAAAACATGTTTTGAAAGGAATTGAAATAAAATGAGCTCCTATGGGCAAAGAGTTTCTTCAAATGCAGTGAACAGGAGAATACATCAATGCACCACTTTTCAGGTGTGCCATGGGTCAGCACATGCCTGCCACGAGCTCAGTGATGGATGACACTTTTCTGTTACTGTAACTGACAGACCTGATAATTCAGATGTGGTTGGAATTATTAGTTCCCTATAATGAGCATGGGATTGTTTGCCTACTTTCATTTGCAAAGTATGCCAGATTTCCCTCATGATCTATGATTTTCTAAAACAACATTGCTTATATTTGTGTCCAGGGACTACAAGAAAGATTTTTAAAGTAGAACAACAAAAGCTCCATTGAAAGACTGAGAAAACTTCCTAAATTAGGGTTTTAAGTTTCAAATGTAATCATCTAAACAAGGCATGGAGGCAGTTTTCATGTCTATGTGCATGTTTGTGCATCTTTCAATAAGAAGAAACTCATTGGACAGGTCATGGGCTCCTTCTCTAACACTTGTGGTGACAAATAATTAATCTGAGGTGACTTGGAGATACTTTGAAGAAGTCTGGAGGGACAGACAGAGTTAGTTCTTGATGCACCCTAGGTCAGCAAAGCTTTGTGATTCATTTCATGTGTGGAAATAAAAGGTACTAAATGTAAGTTAAAGCTGTGCATTTCCTGCTTCTTGTCACCTAACTTACAGCCACTTAACTTTACAGGAGTTTCACAATAGCTCTTTACCTGGGGTTAATTACGTAGGACTGCCTTATGTAGACCACTTTGTGAGATTTGGTTGCATAAAACCCCCCTGAATTCATTTTAAATTATTATTGACACAGGAGATGATTGGATTCCCATTATACTTGCCCATGATGGGCTTTATGATGAATTCGATTTTAATAAGCTTCCAGAGATATTTGAGCACTCTACCATTTAGGGATTAGGCTACATCTGGGTATTGAACATCTAGGGAGTATGAGACCCCAAAAACAGTAACAAAAAAAGAAATATGTATTGCCTTTAAATGGTGAATAGAAAGGACCAACGTTAAAGGAGGAAGTAAAAAAAGGTTAAATGGCCATTTCTTTGAAATGGAAAGTAGTGCAATTTGCGATGCTTACCAAATTTTAATTTTGTATAAATGAGCAATATGGGCCCTTGCTAACATTAGTTCCTTTAAAACAGCTACCTCATGAAGAGCTTGGGCAATATGCCCATTTAAGCATCTTTTTTCCAGGTTGCACATGGCTGGAGGACCAATCAAGGAAAGGAGGTTCTAAATCTTAATGGGGAGAAAGGGTTCTTTCAAAACAAGGTTGTAAATTTGCACCTGCTTTATACTAGAAGCCTGGTATTCATCTCATATATGGATTAGGTGAAAACTAGATGACAAATCACCTGTTTGGATGAATTGCTTAGTAGCTAAACTATCTACAGGTAATTTAGGAATAGGTTTCAAACTATGAGTTTAGGCTAAGAAAAGCACATGGTTTTACTTTATGTTATAACTGCTTCACAGGGTAGGATTTAATGCATTTTTATGTTTGATTACTGGATTTAAGTTAGAAGAAATTTTCACTTCACACAATTGCATAAGTCAAAAATCTAGAATCCTTTAAATTTGGTCTGGAACATTTACCTAAATTTACTATTCCCGTGTGCCCAAACAAAATTGTTAGTATTTTTTTTGAGGAAGATTAGCCCTCAGCTAACATCTGCTGCCAATCCTCCTCTTTTTGCTGAGGAAGACTGGCCCTGAGCTAACATCCGTGCCCATCTTCCTCTACTTTATACTTGGGATGCCTACTACAGCATGGCTTGCCAAGCAGTGCCATGTCCACACCCAGGATCCGAAGCAGAGAACCCCAGGCTGCGGAAGCGGAATGTGCGAACTTAACTGCTACGACACCGGGCCAGCCCTCCCAAACAAAATTATTTTGTGAAGTAAAGTTATTCAATTTACCATTAATTTCTCTTGCAGGAATATTTCACATTGCTCCGTCAAAAATTATTCAACATTAATTTCATATTACGGAGCAACTTTATTTGAAGCTTGAAAGTTGTTTGAATTTTATACTTATATTTTAATATAACATTTGTTATATATTTTATTCAAGTACAACATGTAGTAAAGTTTAAATTAAACCACTATAGAGTTGGATTTCAAGAGCTAAATTGCAAATATAATAAAAATATTTTCCTGGTTTCTCTTAATGGATTACAATTCATGATACTGGTTAGTAAGATATAATATATCTTTGTGATTATTTCCGGTGTTTTGTAGGTTTTCTTGGAAGGTATAATTTTGTTTCAATGAGTGAAAGCTATCCTTAATGTATGAGAAGGATAATTAAGCTGTGTCAGGATAATGAAAAATATGGAGTTGAAAAACTCTAGTTTTGAACTTTAATGACTAATTCCTATTAATTGTATGGAGAAACATAGATTAGAAAAAGAATAGCATTTTCTCGAATGTAGACTTACTTTGGATATCCATGGACAGATAGAGTCTTTGATGCTATACTTATCCTTGCATATTTCACTGATGGTCCTGATCTTAAGAATTATTTAAGATCCTTGTCATTTCCATAAGTTTTCTGTTTTCCCTCATATAACAAATAGCAGCAAACAACAAAAGTAATAGCAATCACAATGTGCTATGTTGCAAAAACTTAGTTCCATTTTCGTGTATGTCCTTATTTGATTCCCACAATAATCCTGTCGGCATGTGTTGTTGTACTTTACAAGTGATAAAGCATGGCTCAGAGAGATTTAATAAGTCGATGAAAGTGAAAGGGTTGGTAAGTGATGGCTCCTGAGCTTGATCCCAGATCTCTGACTCCATAATCAATCATCTTTCTGTTAGGTTATGCTGCGTGAAGCTTTGTGTTATAGATACACATGCACTTGATTGCCCCCTTATTAGTTGTTAATAAAGTACCATGAGGTCTACAGCAATGTCTTACTCACTTCATAGGCATATACCCTGCTGAATATTCTTCCTTACACAATAAAATTAAATGATACTTCATTTTAAAACAAGAAAGAAAGGCTAATGGCTCCCCACATAGTTGGCAATGAACATGTTAAATTGTATTGAAGTTATATTAGACCTTTATTCTTTAATTTGGCTTTTAATTTTCTTACTGGTGATAACTTATTTGTAGACCACCTTACTAAAAGTACCACTTCAAGTCACTGTCCCTGTTTTGTTTTCCTTATATAGCATTTAAGACTCCCAGAAATCATTTTTTTGTTTACTGCCTGCTTTCCACCACCTCCACTAGAATGTTAGCTTTGTTAAAGCAGTTTCCTGTTTTGTTCACAGCTATGTCTCCAATGCCTAGCTAGAATAGTGCCTGGCTAGTTAAATAAATATCTACTGAATGAATGAACAAATATCAGTTATTTTAAATTGTAAATTCCCAAAATATCATTATGAAAAAATATTTGCTGTACAAGACACTCATTCGTGACCTTGGTTTTGCTGACGAATGCTGAGTTCCTGACAACAGTTCGCATAAGTGGAATATTGAATGATGATATAAAATTGGCAAACTGAGAAATAAATGTGTGTGGGTTTAATTTGGGAGACTACAAAACTAACAAAACCCACTTAAAAATACTAGCATGTTAAAAAAGATGTCGTTAAACACGGATTGCTTAAACCAAATCATGAAGGTACCTCTAATGCAACCTCTACCCTCATAATAATAGCTAGAATAAATCTGTCGTGAGAGAACTGGTAAAGATTGTGTATTGTTTGGATATCTTTTCCACTTAAGATAGGTTTTTTTTTCAGTTGATTTTTATAGATTATGTCTACTGCAGTAGAATAGTGTAGTGAGGGTATAAGGTATACAGATTATTTTCTTAAAATTTGTGGCATTTCTACTTAAAGAACATAGAAAACCATGTACATTTGGTTACAATATGTTCATAATATCTGGAATTGCCACAGACTTTAAAAAATAACGTAAAATGCTATAACAACAACAAAAAGAGTAATAATAAACATTAAGATAATTAAATGTTAGTGTTGAGAAAAGTCCTCTAGAAAACTGGTGTGGCTGGAGGCAAGATCGCGCTTGTTACCAGCTGATAGTGGTGAAATGGAAGGTAGTCATTAGGTCAGCACTCTGTTGGGTTTGTGGCTTTACTGAAGCCTTGATTGGAGTAAAGAATCTGTGCCGGAAAGTGATACGAACAGAAGACACTGTGTTTCCCTAAATACTTTAGGGCATAAACATGCCCTTGTTGTAAAGAAATTCATGTTCACTCTGTTAAGGACAAAAGTTGATGCAAATCAAAACAATATCTGCTATTTGTCAAGATCGGGCAAATATCGTTGGTACCAGTTTCAGCAGAAGCTCCCAGAGTGCATGCGTTGCATGTGAAATAAATAAAATTTACTTGAAAATTTAAGCTATGTATATTAGATTCTATAACATTATCAGCAGAATTGGAAATATATAGAATGACTCAGGGCTTTGAAACAGACAGCCCAGTGTTGCAA